TAAAACCTAGCTCCTTCACTTCTGCCATAACAGAACTGAAAGGGAAAAAAAAATCACTGACTGACTAAATTAACACTTAACAGTAACTATCCAAGAAAAAAGCTCCAGCTGAGGGTGCTCTGACCCTCTCTAGCCTTGTTTTTGACATGGTCTGACATGGGAGGGTGGGGATAAGAGGCACAAGAACACCTTATTTAATACTAAGGATGTTAAAATTAGGTTATTTTATTGAGTAGTCAACAGAATTTTTATGGACTAAATTACTTGATAGGGGAAGGCAGCCCGACTTAGTCTCGATTCACGCCAGGTCAGGCACCAAACCCTGTTGCGGTTCTGCAATTTAAAATGCCGTAGAAGCTGGGTTGGAGATGGGGTGGCAGGGGGAGAGACCAGAGAGGCTGCCCAGCTCCTACTGCCTTATAAATTGCAGAGCCGCAGTGGAGTTTGGTCCCAGCACAAGCCGGGACTGAGCTGGGGCTGCCCAGCGGGGAGTTGGGACCCTTCCCCATGGACAGGGGCTGCTGCCTCTGATAGAGGCAACGGGGGGGGGGGGGGGGGGGGGGGGGGCAGCGTCTGGGGGCCCTCCACTTGCTGCCTTTGATATACAGGCAGCGGAGGGGTGGGAGTGGGAATGCAAATAGTCAACTAATCAACTACTCTCTTACATCCCTCGTTAACACTACTAAAAGATGGTTCTATAGCAAGGCACCTCAGAGTGACCAAGTACCCCTAAGTAAGTACATGCAGATCCATTTGAAGATCATCAAATAAGGCACCCACATCTGCAGGTTTGAAATGTGAAGATTTTAAAAAACAATACATAATTGCAGAGCTGTATGAGTCATTAGGAGGCAAAATAAATCCCAATATGAAAAAGGTTACCACTTTGATAGCATTTCAGATTCAAAGATCTGCTCAAACAATTTAAGAGTTTTCGTAATTTTCTTCTAAGAATAAAATTAAGGGTTTGATCTACTTACGGAAATGTCTCTGTATTGGGTAAGTTGGTAGCACGTAGTAAACCATAGAGAGAAACATGGGTGCTGTCTGCTGACGAATTCAAATCATGCTCTTTACCTTCTCTAATCATTGTACGTTTAAGCAGACCAGAACATTTCAAAGCCAGTTCCAAAGCATCCATCCAACACCTGCCTAAAGACAAATGCTTTTTAATAATATAATTTGATATTGTTCACTTTACAATAGTGAATTTAGGGTCCACATTTACCTTCCGTTTGAAACACACATACTAGAATAGTAAATGCACACTTACTCCACACTTTGTGACTTGCATTTTAATATCATTCCAGTCCTAAAATATAAAAAACAACTTACTCCCTATCTAGATGTGAAAGGGACTTTCAGTTAGGACTAGCAAGGCCACAGACCAGAATGTTGTAACTAAGGCTATGATTAGGTCACAAAGGTCATGGAAGTCAAGGAATCTTTGACTTCTAGAGTCCTCCATGACATTTTCTGCTTCAACCCTGGAGCTCACAGCTGCTGCAAGTGATGCAGGGCCTCTGCAGCTCCCAGTCCCACAAATTAGCTGTGGTAGGAGGCCCCTGCAGTTCCCAACCACTGCAGTCTCTGGATGGCAATTGAGGGCTTGGTGACTCTCAATTATTGGCTCCACAGTTCCAAGGTTCTGAGCTGTGATGTGGAGACCCTGATACTACTCTTAGTTGCTTCTGTGGGATAGCAGGAGCACTCCAAAGCTCCCAGCCACCATGAACAGCAATGGTTGGTGATGGACTTGTCACGCCCTATTTTGCCATAATTATTTTTTTAGTAAAAGTCACAGCTCTGAATTTTTGCTTGTTGCCCATGATCTGTCTGTAACTTCTACTAAAAATAACTGTGACAAAAATCTTAGCCTTAGTTATAATAGACAAAGCCACAGAAGACATGCCTTTTCCTGAAACAGAGCATCACTTCCCTTCTTTACCTGCCAATCATCTCCCATCTTCCACCTTGTCCAGGAAGACAACCACTCTCCTGCTCCTTTGACCAGATAAGCACTTAGAAAATGTTACTATCTTTAAAGCATTTCTATTGCTCCCTAGTATTTCTCTATTATGTTAAACCACAATACACTCAACTTTCAAACATGGAGAATGAACTATACTGGCTTCTCCTTTCCCATTCACAATATTTTTGTTCCTGATTGTGAGTACCGTATTTCCGGCCTACAAGACGACTTTTGATGTTAAAAAACATCCCCCCAAAATCAGGGGTCGTCTTATACGCCGGTATGCGGCTTTGCAAAGCCTCGGGGGAAGCCGGCGGCGGGGCATCCCAGGCGC